GACGCAGAAGAACGGATCAGCCGTCTGGAAGATGGGGTAATGGAAGGCAACCAAGCTGAACAGCAAACAGAAAAAAAGTTAATAAATGAGAAAAAGTTAAAGGAGCTCAGCAACATCAAGTATAATAACATTAACATTATAGGGATCCCATAAGGAGAAGAGATAAGGAAGGGAAAAGAGGGGCGCCTGGGTGGCTCAGTCATTGAGCGTCTGCCTTCGGCTCAGGTCATGATCCCAGGGTCCTGGGATCGAGCCCCGCATCGGGCTCCCTGCTCAGCGGGGAGCCTGCTTCTCCCTCTGCCTGCTTCTCCCTCTGCCTGCCGCTCCCCCTGCTTGTGCTCTCTCTCCCTCTCTGACAAATAAATAAATAAAATCTTTTAAAAAACAGGGGGAGGGGGGAGAAAATTTATTAGAGGAAATAATAGCTGAAAAATTCCCAAATCTGAGGAAGGAAACAGACATCCAGGTCCAGGAAACAGAGAACCCCTAACAAGATAAACCCAGTAGGTCCATACCATGACAAATAACAAAATAGCAAAAAGCAATGATAAAGAATCTTACAGCTGCAATACAAAAACAAACAAAACAAAATACAAGGGAAACCCCATAAGGCTATCAGCTGATTTTTCAGCAGAAAATTTGCAGGCCAGAAGAAATTGGCAGGATATATTCAAAGTGCTGAAAGTTAAAAAACAAACAAACAACAACAAAAAAAAACACATAAAAAAAACCAAAACAAAACACCAAAAGTACTCTATCCAGCAAGACTACCATCCAGAACAGAAGGAGAGAAAAAGAGATTCCCAAACAAAAGTTAAAGGAATTCATCACTAAACTAGCCTTATACAAAATGCTAAAGAGAATTCTTTAAGTATAAAGGTAAGGCCATAACTGGAAGAAAATTATGAGAGGAAAAAATTTCACAGGTAAAAGCAAATATATAGTAAAAATAGATCAATCACTTATAAAGTCAGTATTGAGGTTAAAACACAAAAGTGGTAATAAAATCAATTATATCTACAAAAATTAGTCAAAGAATACACAAAATTAAAAGATGTAAAACATAATACCATAACATGAAACATGGAGGAGGAATAAAAATTTAGTGCTTGGAACGTATGTGAACTTAAGGAACTATAACTTAATATAGACTACAATACACATAAGATGTTACATATGAACACATGGTAACCACAAATCAAAAACCTATAATATATACACAAAAAATAGAAAGCCAAGCATAATGCTAATCAAAGCCATCAAACCACAAGGGAAAAGAGCAAGAGAAGAAGAAACATAGAAGAACTATAAAAACAACCAGAAAACAATTCACAAGTATATGCCTATCAATCATTTTAAATGTAAATGGTCTATATGTCCCAATTAAAACACATAGGATGACTGAATGAATAAAAAAAACCAAGACCCATATGTATCCTGCCTACAAGTCTCACTGCAAACCTAAAAACACATGCAGACTAAAAGTGAAGGGGTAGAAAAACATATGCCATGCAAATGAAAGTGCACAAAGGGTAGCAATTCTTATGTCAGACAAAATAGACTTCAAAACAGACTGTAGCAAGAAACAATAAAGGGCATTACATAATGATAAAGGGAACAATCCAGCAAGAGGATATAACAAATGTAAATATCTGTATACACAACATAGGAACACCAAAATATAGAAAGCAGATATTAACAGACAGAAACAGAAATTGACAGTAATCCAATAATAGTAGGGGCTTTAACACCCCACTTACATCAACGGATAGATTATCCAGATAGAAAATCAATAAGCAAAGAGTGGCTTTGAAACACACATTAGACCAGATGAACCTGGCATCTATACAGAACATTCCATCCCAAAACAGCAGAATAAAAATTCTTTTATGTGCACATGGAACACTCTCCAGGACAGATTACATGATAGGCCACAGAATGAGTTTCAGTAAATTTAAGAAGATTGAAATCATATCAAGTAGGTTTCCAACCACAACAGTATGATACTAGAGATCAACTATAAGAAAAATCTGAAGAGAAAACCACACAAACACGCAGAGGCTAAATAACGTGCTACTGAACACTCAGTGGGTCAACCATGAAATCAAAGACAAAATCAATAAATACATAGGGACAAATGAAAATGAAAACACAAGAGTCCAAAATCTTGGGATGCAACAAAAGCAGCAATAGGGAATTTTATAGCAATACAGGCCTACCTCAAAAGGCAAGAAGATTCTCAAATAAAGAACCCAACCTTACACTTGAGGAGCTACAAAGAAAAAGAAAAGAACAAACCAACCCAAGGTTAGTAAAAAGAAAGAAATAAAGATTTGTGCAGAAATGAACAAACTAGAGACTATTTTGCAAATGGCAAAAGCATATTCTTTTTGTATGGTTGAATCACACACACACACACACACACACACACACACACACACACACACACAC